CTCATGATAAAAAATGTGAAAAAAAAATCCAGCTTTTCTTTATATATATATTTTTAATTATGTTTAAATCGATTTTTGTTTTTGATTTCTTAAAAATCCTAAACAACGTCGGATTCCAAAACAAAAAATATAGGGGTGTAGGGTTTTCGAAGCCCTACACCCTCATATATATATATTTTTTTTGTTGAGTATTTTTAGGGGTAAAACAAAATATTTAAAAAACCAGGCCGCGGACGGGGTCTCGTTGGCCGCGGCCGTGGCCGGGATTTTCGGCCGCAGCGGCCAAAATGCCCGCGGCCGGTGTCACATAGCTGCTGACCCCACTTCGGCCCAGCCCCGATGCTTGTGGCACGAAGGTCTTGGTTCGGCTCACGGCCTGCAGTCCGCACCACTCGTCGAGGCCGTGGAAGAATTTTCATCGGTGGGCAACTGCCCTGTTGCACTATGCACTACGCGGGCTTTAAACACTGCCTCAAATAGAAACTAGGGTAGCGATTTTTGAATGGTGGCACCGATAGTTAGATCTGACGTCGGCCATAATCATGCAGCCTCCGTGCGCGTGTACGTGCCACAGTCAAATGTACTGATCAAGAGAAAGAATCAAATAATCTTATCTAATAAAAAACAAAAGTTGGTTGGCAGATTGATGACAATTGTGCTGTCTCTTACAATATCCATAAGAAAAACCACGCGCGCCTCAAAACTGTGCGCCCACGCACTCTCTCCTTTCCCTCTGAACACAGAGTTGGTCACAAAACGAAAAAAATTGGCCACGGCTCGCGCGGCGCACCCAATTTTTGTGCCAAAACCCATCCCTGTCATTTGCAAAAACCAAGGCGGATACCCTTGTAAGGGTATTCACGCCCACAGCGCCCTCTCGTCCAATTGGGAGTAGGGTGGGGGCGCCAATAGGGGTCCTGGCTAACGCATAGTCACAGTCTCACAGACCGTCGACCGAGCATTTTGCCAGTAGCTGATCCTTTGCACTTATCGCCCTCTCGTGCGGAGCCGCATCCATCCACCATGCGGGAAACCCCTCGTTCGCCTCTCCCGGGGTTGCGATCCCTTTTTCTTCTTCTTCAGAATCTTTTTTTTTCTTTTTGAGGCTAATTCTTTGAATCCCAACCAATCCAATCACCTTTCGACTCTGGACAGGACCATAGATCAGATACTAAACTGATCAGAACAGATGCTACTCTTGATCTTAGTCAAAAGGCCGAGAAAGGTATAGGTTCTTATTCTGGAGTCCTATAGAATAGCAGCCCAAAATGGTCATGCAATGGACCTCTCACAATTCCATGCCCAAATCGGCGATTCGGCGAGTTTGCAGACACAAGCAGATCACTCACATGAGAGCTCACAGCCTCACACCAAGACCAGAAAATGAAACCGGAATCAGCGCACCAAAGAATTGCTGCACCCGGTGCACCGAAATTATCATATTATACAAAGAAATGGTTTGAGTGTTGAAGCGGTATGTGCCGTGCCCGACTTCCAACTCCCAACACTCAGAAAAGTCCCGGCAGTCAGGTGTGTAACCGAATCCCGTCTCCCTTGGTGTGACCCTCTCTCTCTTTTTGTCTTGACTCTCACTCTCCTCAGCCTCTCGGCTGTTCTCTCTCCCCCTCTTGCTTTCCCTACTTGGATCTACCCTGAATACACCCGTGATGTACCACCTTGCCCTCTGCAACTATGGCCGCCTTCTTCCTCCTGCTAAACCCAGCTATGGTTGTCTTCTCCCTTGCCGAGCGCTTGCTTCTCCCTCAACGCCTCCATCTGTCCAAGACGCATTATTGCACAAGCAACTAGCACTGTCTAGCAGCACTTCCACAACTTGCGAACAAACAACTAGTGTGCCTTTTGCGCTGCAGCAACTATAAATAGAGGTCACCAACTTGAACTGCCTGATTCAGGGTCGCCCGGGCCTGTCTGCTGTATGTTTTTGTTGTTCCAGAAGTCTCCAAACTTTCTTGGGACGCTGCTGCAAAATTGGAGTCTTGGCCCTTGGGACTACCGACCTGAGCTGCGACGCTTCAGTACCTGACTCTACCAGACTCAGCGCCGGACTGAGGTCATTGAGCTGCGACGCTTCAGTACCTGACTCTACCGGACTGAGCTGCGAGGCTTCAATACCAGACTCTACCGGACTGCGACGTTGGCTCGGGGACTCTACTGACCCCTAGGACTCGACCTACTGGGACCTAGTAGGCCTGGGACCATCTGGGACTGGGTCTAACTGGGACTCTGGGACCAGGACCCGGGACTTGTGCTACACTGCTACGTGAAATCCTTTCTTTTTTTTCAAAAAAAAATTTCCCGACGGGAAATCCTTTCAGTACAAAGGAAACAGTGGCCTAGCTCAGTTGGTCAGGCATGCAAGTGGCATTCAGCAGGTTGTGGATTCGTACCCCACAACCCCGGTGATAGTCCGCTTGATACCTCTGATCGGTATTAGCAGGGTCCTTCGCCAACACGGGTTGAGTGTGAGTGGGTTGTGTGTGGTGCGTGGGAGAGTGTTGGCCTTAGACACTTTTGTTATTCGGTTGGGGGTGGGGGACGATGAAAAGGGAGGCGCAGCTACTGGCAAAATGTTCGGTCTTTGCGTTGGCCGGACCCCCACCGGCGGCCCCACCCCATCCTTGACACCATGGTTGGGGTGGGGGGCAACATACATCCCCTCTGATTGCTGGAGGCAGACAGCAAAGCTATGTTCCCAGGGGTCCCCTGTATAAGCCTTAGGAGTAGTGGTAGGTAGGTAGGAACCAAAGGTGAGATGCATCTAAAGGTGACATGCATCCCCTCTGATAGCTGGAGGGAGACACCAAAGCTATGTTCGCAGGGGTCCCCTGTATAAGCCTTAGGAGTAGTGGTAGGTAGGTAGGAACCAAAGGTGAGATGCATCTAAAGGTGACATGCATCCCCTCTGATAGCTGGAGGGAGACAACAAAGCTATGTTCGCAGGGGTCCCCTGTATAAGCCTTAGGAGTAGTGGTAGGTAGGTAGGAAGTAAAGGTGAATTGCAAGAATTGGAAACTAACCGAACCGATCAAGCGGAGGTGGGATAGAGACTCACCACTTGACATGGAACACCTTAGGACGCTAAGGTCGGCCACCTACTCGACTATTCGACCCACTAATCTGCGAGCGCTGCAGTGGCAGATCATCCACATGTGTCTACCCACCCCGGACTGGATTATGTCGAGAACAAACTTGGAAGAACGGGGCGTGCTGTCCCCGCTCTGCACCTACTGCAGAGGGGCTTTCCCCAGGAAAAGAGCCACGCTTGAACACTGCTTGCTGGACTGCACTATGGTGGCCCAGCTTTGGCAATGGTGGGATGCAGCATGGCACTATCTCACGGGCAGCCACCTGCCGTGGGACCTTAAGACCATCTTGCTGGGGGAAAAGCCCCCACAAGTGGCAACGTGGACACCCTTCAGCCTTAACTTGCTGGAAGTAACGCGACTGCCGATGTTAATGGCTGCCTGGCGGATGAGATGTGCATACGAGCACAGACAACACACGTATGGATATATGGAAGCTCGGGCCTCGATACTTGAGACAATCACCGTAAACACACAAGCGGCCTGGCAGGAACTCACAATAATGCTCCAGAAAGAACCAGACTTAACCAAAAGGAGCGAGCTTTCTGATAACTTTCGGACTGTCTGGGTGGACAACGCAGAGAGTCTTTGACTCTTTGCGAACTAAATCAACCCAACCAGCTGCGGTGGAAGCAGTGGTTGGCTACGGAACCACAATGGGAACGCTTACATAGAAGCTACTTTCAGTTCTTGTTCCGACCGACCAACTTCATCATGCTCCCTGGCTTAAGTACACTGTAACTGCTCCCTCCTCCCTTTGGTGGTCCCCCCCCAGCGAACTGTCCCCGTCCCCGTTCCCCCCCTCTCTCCCACCTCTACACCCACTTCCCGCCCCTCTCCCGCCCACCCCTGATCCTCTCATTCTCATTCAAAGCCGGCCAAGCAGGGTCTTCCCCACTGGAGAATGCAGCTGAAGGGAACACCCCCTGGTGACAAGACGATGAGGTCATTGCCCACAGCCCATCACTGATGCCACCCTACGCGGAGCTTTGGAAGGCGCCCTACAACGACTAGCAGACCTCAAGGATATTAGCTGGTTTCCCGCAGCTGGGAGGCAGGGACAGGGTTACACAATCAAATTCTACTTCAAAGACAACGACACAATGTTCATTCACTGGTAGGGGGCTCTGGGAGGGCGGGAAGTAGGGGGGACAAGGGCTTTGGGAGGGAAGGAACTTAGTGGGCAAGAGACGGCCTAGCACTGCTGAAAGGGTTTTGGATCTTAGGGAAAGGTGGAAGGGTTTTGGGTCTTAGGGAAAGGTGGAATAGAGGGGGACTAAGGTTGGCGCCCAATAAAGCATTGTAATGACCACACTGCTAGCATTCTACATACACAGCTTTGGCACCTACGGATCATAGCGACAACACAGGGATGGGACAGCACAATACGGTATATGGACTATTTCATAGCACACCACATCAAGGATAGCACTGACAGGGAGCTGGGTAGCTTACCGCCCACCTCCCCACAACACACGGATCCTGCAAACTTCGCACTCACAGCATAGATTACTTGGATCACATGGAAGTCCACAGCATAATTTACATTATACATTGCAGGGACGCTGGACCCGATTTCCAGCAGGTGATGCTCCCCACTAATAGATGGAGCCATCTCGAGACTGCTAGGGGCGCCTGCTCGTACCAGCGTCCGTAGCAGCCGATCGGCCTGTTTTCTTTGAAAAAAAAAAAAAAAAAAAAAAAGCCCGCCGTTGGACACCACAGAGGAAACGAGGATGGACTATCATAGTTCGTAAAACAATAAATTGCATGGTATGATAATACAGTATTGATGGCAGACCTTCCGCGCTCATCGCGCGTGCCGTCGTGTGAAATGGCATCCATCGGTCTTGCCGAAGAAACGCTTGCTAACGCCCCGGCGCGAGTTGGCGGGGTTGACTTCCTGTAGCCGTCAGTATATAACTGTTACAGTCAAAACGCAGTAACAAGTCACCACGAACCTTTTTTCTCCTCCCCCCGCCGACGGGCCGCCGTGAGACCCCACACGGCAAACGTGAACGAGGAGGAATGAGAATGATGCCGTTTGGAGGAAGGAAAGCAATGGCTGACGACCGGCACTCAGCAGTGGTGCCGGCTCTGCTGGGCTTCTTACATATCTTGCCGTCTGTCGAATGGAACTTTCTCTGGGGAGAAGAAGAAGTTCAAGAACGTGCATGCAATGCATGGAGGCTGAGCAGGGGTCCCAGTTGGACTGGGCGCTCGAAACGCCGTCGACGCCTTGTGGCTGCAGCAGCTGCCTTCTGCTCGATGATTCTGCTACACACACTGCGGCCATCGTCATCACTAGTCCAAGCACAGTCCGAAGTGGAGGCTCCCGATCCCGCCCATAGCAAAGAAGAACATCGCCGCGCAGCAGCTGTTGGTGAGAAAACCTCTACCTTCTTCCTCCGAATACAACGTACGGTCATTAAAGCTGTATTTAGAATGAAAGATACCCCAAATACAGCTATAAATTTAATGAACGTACATTGTATTGGGGGGAAGAAGGTAGTCACTTTGCCGTTTTCTCTATTAACACCCCAAAAGTTTGGACCATTTCTTCATTTGTTCGAGTCACTTTCTGTTTATGCGTTTTTCGCAAGCTTTGGTAACCAAACGCACATACTTTCCAGTAGGTATCGTCATCCTGGCCGTCTCTGTGAGACGACTTGAATCGGAGTTGTTCTTCGGTTCTGTCGCTTGGCGATGCTGCTATCCAGCTGCCGCCGTTCATACTTTTGTCAGTCTGTGACTATGTGTCAGATTTTTCGAGTCGAATGAGCAGATGCCGCTCGCATCCGTTTTTGTTGAACAGAATTAAACTTCGGGTTTTCCTTTCAGAAACCTTTCGAGCGCAATAAAAGCGAGCGAGAGAGAGAGAGAGAGAGACAGAGAGAGAGACAGAGACAGAGAGAGAGAGAGAGAGAGAGAGAGAGAGAGAGAGAGAGAGAGAGAGAGNAGAGAGAGAGAGAGAGAGAGAGAGAGAGAGAGAGAGAGAGAGAGAGAGAGAGAGAGAGAGAGAGTCGTCCTTGATTTTCCCGAAATATTGTAGTTCAATACGAGACTACGAGTCAATAAAGTCGGCGGGTTTCGACGAGATCTGTGCAAGGATTCACTATCTCTAAAGGAAAAATCGACGGTTTTGACTAGAAGAGTAATCGAGGATCAAACGTTTGATCAACTTTGATGGGAGTTCAACCTCAAACTTCCGGAGTAACTGTTGTTCGATTACATAATTCACATTCTCCGCCGAATCTCCGGATATAACGACTTCGGTCGCCGAAACTCGGCAATATCGGTATGGTTAGTTACGTGAGCACCTGCATGTTGAGAGTTTTTTTGTTTCTTTTTTTTTTTCTTTTTTGGGAATGTTGAGAGCTTTCTCTTCGGAGCCTTTTCCCATTTTTACGATACTACAAATTTTACGCGATAGTAATAATGGCAGGGATGTTTGTTTTAGCTGTAGGGAGAACGGGGGGCTGGTCCCATCAGCAAAGCGGATTGGATTTAATTCGTGAATGTGGATGTGTTCTTGGAGAGATGCAGAGAGTTGCGATTCATCTGCTTTTCTGCATCTCTGCTCAAAACACGTCTAGATTCAGAAATTAAACGGAATTTAAACCCAATCCTTTTTGCTAATGTGACCAGGCCCTGGCTGCTGACAACGCAGACGGTTTGTAATGCGGTTTGTGCTCGTTTTGGGAGTACTGCCGAGTGCCGACAACTCCGAAGCTCTTTTCTGTGCTCATTCTAATGCATTCTTTTGTGTGCTTCTCAAATTGTTCAGGCCTCATACAGCTGACAGGAGTTTTTTTTTTTTTTCCGTTTTCTTACAAAGGAGGTAGCTTCTACTCGAATTGCATTCAGCGGAGTCAGTCGGGATTCGAACTTGTGACCTGTTTATTAGCAGTTACATTTGTCACGAATTTGTGTACGACTGTACCATTCACCCAGTGCACATGGGGGAATTGTTAACCGGTAAATTCGCCTTGAGCTCTGGTATCGTAACTGACAACTTCGAGGTTGTTATTTTCCTGTCTGGATTTTTTTTCTTTTTTTTGGTTTTTTTGAAAAAGCTGCCTTTTCCTCATCGGGGGACAGCCATATATTTTTCTCTCACTTCACATATTTTTTTAACTGGCGTGCTGCCATGTCATGGAACATATCTTTCTTTCCCTACCTACCTACCATTACTCCTAAGGCTATAGAAGACCCCTGCAAGCATAGCTTTCTACCTCTCTTCGGTGAAGGGAGGTTACCTCTCTCGGTGCAGAGAAGTAACGGCATGTTTGCCCCTTTGCCCTAGCGTTGGGGCCTGGCTGACTGTCTGAAATTCTAAGGGCCTCGCCACACAACTCTCGAAATGTGAAAAAGACAAAAAAATGTGGCGGGTGCATCTGGCCATGTTCTAGCGGGAAGTTCGCTCCCATTTTGCAAATTTCGAGAGCGGTGTGCCGATGCCCTAATTCATACCCGTGGATTCCTGTGTCGTTCCGGGTTGTTTGTGAGGGATTCCCGGCCTCAAGGTTTTGCTTTGATAATGGAATTCCTTGCGTTTTCCCAAAAAGAAATAAAAAACAATTCATACCCGTGGGCCGTGGCTAACTTTCGTTCTCGAAAGCAGAATTTATTGAAAATTTAATTAAAGTGTGACCTTCTAATACCTGTGAGTCTGTGTGTATGCTGCCGATGACGAGGTCGGGATACGGATCAACTGTGGCGGTCCGACATTCGTTGACAGCAGAGGGCGGCGGTGGGAGGCTGATACTGACTTCTTATCGAGAGGCGGGTCAAGTGTCGGCTGCATATTTAGTAAGCTCAGGATTCTTAGCGCCGCCGATCCTTTGAGCGATCGCGGTGGTGGTCCTGGTGGACATGCGCGGTCTGAGACTCTGAGCCAGGCAGGACTACAGTAGTACTAGGTCGTAGGCTATTCCACGTGCAAGGGACTCTAGGATGCACACGGAGAGCGGGAACGCCGGGGAGAGTTGGACCTACGTTTATCGAACGTTCCGAAAGTTTTCGGCGAATGCCATCAACGGCTACAATTTCTAAATCCCCTCACGTATCGGAGCCGCTATGCCTTATCTTATCCGACTTCACGTCACCAATACGGTCGAGAAAAATTCCTGCTTTTCGTCCCGTACTACAAACATCCCTCACTCTCCTTACTCTCCCCGCTCTCCTCAGTCTCCCCACTCTCCTCGCTCTCCTCGTCCCCTCACTCTCTTCACTCTCCTCTATCTCCTCATTCTCCTCATTCTCCTCGCTCCTCTCACTCCTCTCACTCTCCTCTATCTCCTCAGTCTCCTTATTCTCCTCATTCTCCTTATTTTCCTCATGCTCCTCATTCCCCTCAATCTCCTAAATCTCGAAGTAGTGTAGATTCGGTATTCAAGTCCACTACTGATAGTGATAGGCTGGCAGATAACGTTGTCGTGCATTCGAAAGGAGGCTGTTATGGGGATGCACGGTGGCGATCACGTGCATTGCAGAGATGCTTCTGGGTGACACTGAGAGAAACCAGAGTGGTGCTCTTCAACTACTCGCTAGCAGATGCCAAGGCAGGCAACAACCCGCCTCCGGACTCAACGCAAGCCAATACTGCTTACCAACCAAGGGAGTGTGTGACCTCAGTTCATGAGCTGATTGCGTTTCCAGTTAACGGGCAGCTGACAATCGGATTCGATCCGTGCTATAGCGGCGGGGAGGGGAAGCAGAAGCAGCGCCAGGAACGGAGGCAGCACAATTGTTGTTGCAAATTGCAATCCGCTGCTGCTGCTGCTAGTGTTACTATATCCACAGCAGAAGAATATACGGGCAGCGGAGTCAGCGGACGGTTGGCGGCAAAACGTTCAACGAGAAATTCGCCGGACGACTACTTCGGTCCTGACGGAGGAGGTAGGTTTCTCGATCCCGCTCTTAGTGCCATCGAGATTTTGCCGATTCTTTTCTCAAATTCGGCGCCGCCGCCGTCTAATGGCTATCAGCCGCCGTCGGAAACGGTAACGGAACGTCGAACTCCGTTAAGCGCTGCCTTCTTCCCTGAGGAAAGGCCGCCGATGTCGCCTGTGTTGTCGTCTTCGTTCCAACTTCAATCAGAAGCAGAAGCGATGGTGCGCGCATCGTCGTCGGCGAACCCGACACAGCGGACGCAGCTGCGCGAGGACGTGATTCTTCTTCTCGTTCATCGAATCAACTGCGGCGGCGCGAAAGAGGTGGTAGTTGATTCGTTCGATCCGCTTGGAAGACGTTGGAATCCGGATGACGGAGTCGGCTACCGCAATGGTTGCGCTCGAGATCACCATCCTTCCTCTGAAGCTGTCGCTTCTCCTTATTCTCCTTCTCCTTCTCCTTCTCCTTCTCCTTCTTCTTCTTCTTCTTCTGCTGCTGCTGCTGCTGCTGCTGCTGCTGCTTGTGCTGGTATCAGATTTCAGCCACACAACGCACCACGATTCTTCACCACATTATCTAAGGTCAGCCTTCGTCATCAGGGAACGGAACCTCCATGCCAGCCTGACGGTCAAGTTGAACTCGATTCAACGCCGAAAGCCTGCAGCAGCAGCGCCGGGATCGCGTCTTTCAGGCGATCCGGAAGAGGAGATCAGAAGAGTCCGACTGTGAGGACTTTCAGCCTGGTCCCGACCGCCGTGCTGCAGACTCGGAGAGTGGGTGTCACTCCCTCCCAAGGAACTGGTGAACCTGCATCCCGATCGAGGCAGGATGGCAGCAACATCAAAACCAGCGGTGGAACGGGAACCGACAGATGCAATGGTAGCAGCAGGAGCAGCAGCAGCAGCAGCAAGACCATCGGCGGTCAAACCGGTACCGACAGATGCAATGGTACCAGCAGCAGCAGCAGCAAGACCAGCGGAGGTGGAATCGGTACCCACAGATGCAATGGTACCAGCAGCAGCATCAGCAGCGGCAAGACCAGCGGAGGTGGAACTGGTACCGAGTCTACCGACCGATGCAATGGTACCACCAGCAGCAGCAGCAGCGGCAAGACCAGCGGAGCTGGAACTGGTACCGAGTCTACCGACAGATGCAATGGTACCAGCAGCAGCAGCAGCAGCAGCAACAGTAGCAGCAGGCCGCGCTCTGGGCCATCGAACCCACGATCTCCTGATCGGCAATTTCCTGGTCTTGCAGACTCAAATAATGATGTGCAGGTATCGTTGACCGCGAGTCAGCAGTCGGAATCCAGACGTAGTCTACTTTATAAGGTGAAAGTCGATTCTCGGAAGGATGTCCAGGTGCGGCTCATCTTTGCTGAGCTGTCCTCGGAGGTCATTGACCAACGAAGCAGACTCAGCAGAGTCTTCGACGTGCTCATTTGTGGCGAGTTGAGGTTCTCTGACGTGGACATCTACGAGAAGGCTCAAGGAAAATTCAAGGCGGTCGAGTTGGTCGTAGACAAATGCGGATCTTGTGACGGGAAGCTGGAGTTGGAGCTGCGCGCTAAGCCCTCCAGTGCTCTCCCGCCTGCACTCAATGCCTTCGAGATACATACACGAATTCCAGGAAACACACGATCATCCGACGGTTCGTAATCTACTTTCGGTTGACCTTGACCAACCTAGTACATGTTTGTTTGTGAGTTACACCTCTTTCAGTCGTGTGCTGACGGATTCTGCGAATGTCTACTTGTCGCTTAGACGTCGGCATTCAATGGAAAAAGTGACTTCAACTGACTTGTCCGTGACTGTCTCAGGAGAACTGAGTTATCTCCGAGTCTCATTTGCCAAAAATTCCAATCATGAATGATTTCAGCAACCCGCCTCCTGAGTTCCCCCAACTTCTCCGTATTTGCAGCTGCTGTTCCGTCATCCTCCGAGTGTTGGACTCTCTCTCTCTCTCTCTCTCTCTCTCTCTCTCTCTCTCTCTCTCTCTCTCTCTCTCTCTCTCTCTCTCTCTCTCTCTCTCTCTCTCTCTCTCTCTCTCTCTCTCTCTCTCTCTCTCTCTCTCTCTCTCTCCCCCCTATGTCTTGCCCCGCCGCCGGCCTGGGTTGTGTACCAGCGCAGACATCGTGAACCGTAGCGGTAGATTACTGTGTAGTTTCGGGGGAAATCATAACTTCATAAGCACTCAAAGTTTGAGAAGCCTCTTCTTTGGTCTTCGCTGGTTCGTACGTGTTAGCATCTGCAGTTTTCGCTTGAACTGCACCATAAGGATTGAATGTTGATGCGTGGGAACAGTCCCACTGTGCTGTCCATCCTTGTTGTGTTGTGACTGGTCACTGTTGTCGTCTGTGCAGTTACTGCCTTGTTGGCTGTGCGCTCGTCTTTTAAACTAGGGAGCGACGATGAGGACCACAGTCGTGACTCGGACGTGGATCATTCCACGTCAGCTTGGAGTCTAAGCGATCCTTGTAGGCCCCCAGCTTGGACGGGAGTTTACTGCCAATCTTCATCACCACCTGTGGTATCTGCACTGTAAGAACACCTCTTCTTACGCTCTCGCTCTCGCTCCCCCTCCCACTCCTAATCCCTCATTGTGATTTGTTCTGCTATGTTAAGACTTCAGAAAATTAAGACTGAACTTGAACTTCAGAATCTTAAGACTGAACTTGAACTTCAGAATCTTAAGACTGAACTTGAACTTCAGAATCTTCTGCCAAGTGCCCCTTCTACTATTCGGATTCGAGTTCATTCAATCTATGTTATCTAATTGGCCGGCTTCATTGCCACCGCATAGGAAAAATCATCTGGGCCTCAGCTGAGTCTAGTCCTTCCTACACTATCGGTCGAGTACCAGACATGGGAGAGACCACCTTTTACTGTGTATTGTCTGCTACACGTCTCGTCTGTTGTGACCTGTTGTGACGCGTTGTGACGTGTTGTGAGTCTTATGACCAACTGGAACCTACGTGCATGGCTTGTTTCTTGTGTGGGTCCTGTGGGATCAAGATTATTGGGAAAAGTCATTAAGACGTCCCCGCGACGAAACCTTTGTATCCATTTCCCCCCAGCGGAGGAAAAATGTGCCGGAATCACTTTCGGCGGCATATTTGCACCCTGCAAAACACTTCCCCGCAATTTTTACTCAGCGCCGAAGCGGCCGTTACCGGCCAGCCAGGGTGCAAAAATGACACCAAAACCAGACAATGTGTTCTTTGGAATATAAAATGAGTGTGTTCTTTGGACCTGCGGCACTTTTTTCTCCGTTGGGGGGGAAATGGATACAAAGGTTTCGTCGCGGGATACAAAGGTTTCGTCGCGGGGGGAAGGTTTTATGACTTTTCCCAAGATTATTGATCAGTCCTTCGGGACATCCGTTAAAATTGGAACGATACAGAGAAGATTAGTATGGCCCCTGCGCAAGGATGACACGCATGAATCGAGAAATGGTTCAATGTTTTCAAAAAAAAAAAAAAGAAGATCAGACCGTGACTGTCAGTCTGTCACTGACTGACTGTTTGAATTCAAAAATAATGCAACCGACGTGTCCTGAACACCCTGCGGTTTCTCTGCAAAGCCCCATGATATTGCAAAAACGCGTGGCACTACGTAGTCTTTTTCTCTCTTTTTTGGAATTTTCCCCTTTTAAGTTATATTCGATGGAACTTCCGGGTTTCGTTATGGAGTCATTTTTGATAATATGATAACGTGAGCGATGTCCTCCGGCGTATCTACCTCTGAGTCATGTTCCCCCCCCCCCCCACCCCTTCCCTCTATTATAACCAGTGTCATTCAAACCAATGTCATTGCAATGACACTGGTTTTAGTTAATCTCTTTCTTTTGTTATGACTACCATGATATGTATTGATCGGGCGGAGCTTGCTTCGTCTTTTCCTCTCTGGATTCTGGACTGCATAAGTGAACCGCACGACGGGAAATTCGCACGATCGCATATTCACCGATTACCCCACCCACCAGGTGCGTGAGTAGTACCGTACCGTGATGATAATGGAATTTATGGAAAGACGATAATCACACACGTAAAAAAAATAATAATAATAATAATAATAATAATAAATAAATAAATCACACGTAATTGATAGTGACCGTGCTCGATTTCTTAACCAGTCAACCGGTCGCTGACTCGCTGGTTGTTGAAACTTCCAAATTAAAGCAAATAGTACTTGGAATAGTGCTGCTAAGGTTTTTTCAAACGTTTCCCTTTTTTTTTTTTTTTTTTTTTTTTTTTTTGTTTGTTTGAACAAACGTTTGTCTTTTGCACTTTCCAATGTTTCCATTACCCGTGGGACTCGACATCCTATCAAAGGATCGAAGAGAAGGCGCTAGTAAGTTGCTAACGCGAAGTTCTGAGCGGAACGTAACTGCGCTAGGCGTCTAGGTGCCGCAGCTGATGGACATTGGACAGATTAGTAGATTATCACACACGGAATCGAACTGCCGATCTCTCAGCGATGTCAGCATTACTGCCAACTCCCTCAACGATGCGCCGCCGCATGACGTGCACTGATCAAGACTGACCCAGGAACGAATCGAAGACCAAGTTATCGCACTGGCGATCTCTCAGCATCAGAGCTTGGTCACCTTGGTGCCTTAAGGATTTTTGAGGACCGGGAAACGTATTAGATTCCTAAAAACGAAGTGAGCGTTTCTTTCTGCCCCGTCTGGGGACAAACAAATGCAGAGCTTTTGCCGCGGAGGGGGTCACTACTTCTCCCATTATAGAGACTGCCCCCGCATGGTATCGACCTGGCGGCCTCTCAGCATCACAGCTGGGTGTGCCTCAACAATTCCAACGGAGCGCCGTAGCGCCTTCTCGTCAGAGTCGTCATCCAAGTTGGTTCACGTGGGATGAAATCCACAATGGCACGTGGTCCGTTCTGACTAGGTGGTCCGCACTGCGCACGCATGAAATCCATCACAGCCACGGTAAGATTGTGTAGAGCAGAGTCTCAGACTGAGCACTCCATCCCACGGCTGAGCATTCACAGTTTGGATTATTAACCAGAAATTTCCTCGACTTATTTCTTGATTTGTGCGTCTCAATCCTTCACGGCACAGCAGGGGCAGGCAAATCTTCTCTGCATTGTTCCATTGTTCCAGTTTTAAGGAATGTCCCGAGGACTATTCTTAATTTCATAGATGTTATCAGTAGCGATCCCGATGCAGATAATGTGCCATCTGATTATGGTACTTATTATATTTGCCATTATTTGGTCAGAATAGTTAGGATAGCTCATTGCTAACTGTATGTACATCTTCAAAGGACATACTCACGCTGAGACCCTTGGGCTGAATCTGCGCACGATTACAGTCCGATGCATGATGGGAAGAGCGGTTTTTTTTTTTTTTTTTTTTTGTTCAGGTAAGCAAGCAACCTTTACCTGTATGACACCTCCGTGGCCCAGAAAATTTAATTTAATATCGTGTGGTCCGATGGACCACGGATCAGATATCAGAACAGATATATACCTTCAGATACAGCATTCCATGTCTCGTTGCAGCATTCCATGTCTCGTTGCAGCATTCCGTTTCTCGTGCCTGGTAACTTATTAAGCAGTATGTTCCTCTTCCGCTGCCTGATGTCCTGTGGTAGTGAGATCATGTTTGGGTGTCTAAGGACAAGCGGTTGATGAAGACTGCGGCCCCATACGTGAGGTGAGGTAGGGACCAGGGCCCCCCGGTTGATAAGGGACTCTGGAAGACTCTGGGTCCTCCCAGACCAGTAGGCTGGTAGCTGGGGTGTGCGCCCCCGGCGTTAGGACTTCCCCCCGTGCTGCCGTGTGGTCTGAACTGCGGCGGGCCCCACCACTGGCAGGCCACATTTTCCTTGCAGAGAAGTACATTGACGGCCCGCTCAGGTTTGCAATGCAAAACTTGCCCTGTAGGGATGCGCCTGCACAAGCACATGTGACATGCCTGAGAACGTGATCTGCACCCAGATGTGCAGAGGGCCAGATGCTTTCAGACGGGGTTAATTAGTCCTTTCAAACGTGAAGGGCTGTTTCTTTTCTTTTGTTCCACATACACATACCGTGACATAACACGTATTGCTATTTGCTTCCGTCGGAGGTCGTCGTCTCATGATCAAGGATCTGTGTGGATGGGTAAAAATTTTGAACCATTTCTTTAAATTGTTTGTGTGTGTCACCCTTGCCGGCTTGCACAGCAGCAGAGGGGCAGAGGGGCAAAGGGGCTGTTTCTGTCCTTCAGCCTTCAATTGAATTTTCAGAATCACAATGTGTGGAACTGGCGTAGTGACACCTCGGACTCAAATTTGGAATACGTGATTTGCAGGTTTCTCGGAGGAAGGAAAATTGCTGGGATGATTGCATCGCGAATTTCGGACTTGAAGGATCTTCAAGTGCTTGACTTGCGAGAAAACCAACTTTCTGGAAGTATTCCCAAGTCACTTGCGGACCTGCCAAAGTTAACTTCCTTGTAAGGATCACTTGCTGCTAACAGTGCTAAGTATCAACTTATCAAGTTACTCTACAGACCATGATGAAACCGACCCAGCCCTGTGTAATAATTCTCTTTGTTCCAACTCTTGTGCCAACAGCGGCAACAGGGCACTACTGCATTGCATTGCATAGTAACAGACTATTAGACTAAGGGTGTAATCACACTCGGACTCTCCTGAAAACATTTAGGCTATGGAAATAGTATGAATATAGCTGAAACAACGGTCAGATTCCATCAAAAAGTCGTGCTGTGAGTGTGCCCTAAGAATTTATAAATCAATGTTTTTTTCCTGCACAAGTTTGACAGTGTGAAATTCCTCTTCTTCATCTGCATTATGTCGCAAGCAAGCTCTTTCCTGCAGGACTTTTCTGAAATCCGGGAATGTAACTCTGTGAACTTGCGTCAAGAGTCTGAAGGCAGAAAGTTGACGCAGTTTAAAATTTCCCAAGTCACAATGCTACAGTCCTCGACAGCTGTATACTTTTGTTCTTTCTTGGCATTTTGTTGCCATTACTTGTTCCTAATCGCATCATTAGTAAGGACATATTAATTGCTATCCACATAGACTTATTATAGGTATTATTTATTGGGGCCCTTCTGGCAAAACTGCTACGCTGCCCCGGACTGTCACAGTAAAAAAAGATCACCTGGACGGTGAAACAACATAACAGTGCCATTTTTTTCTGGCATGGAACCTAAACCAAAACCAGGAAACAAATTGTAATTGACAATCACATAATGTGCAAGGTGCTACTTCTCACCGACTCGGAGGACGAAGTGTGCTACAAGCTCAGGATCCCGATTACCTGTTGATGTAAGCACCACCCTTCTAGCCACGCCTACCAAGTAATTCTACAGATATTGTCTGTTCCTGACTATGCTACTCCATCGTCATTCCTCACAGGCACGCACCGCTTCTCCATAGTAACTCGTACGACTGCTGATTCGAACTTCTGCTCCAAAATTCAAAATTTCCCACTCAGTCGATGTCAACAACTTCCTTCATACGAATGACATTGTACGACGTACGTCCAGCTCGCACGAATCGGAACTCCTCCTTTCCCTTTGTCAGATTCCGTTCTCCTACAGTGTTATACTACACAATGGGGTTGTACTGTCTTCCTTTGTCAGAACCCAACTGGTCTTGACGAGATGAATGTTCATTGTACCCAAGACGGTCCACATGCAGACGGTGTACTACATGTCCACATTTGTCAGAACCCAACTTGTCGTGACAAGATGAACGTTCATTGTACCCATGTCTAGACGGTGTACTACGTGTCCACATACCTTCGTAGTCGGCCATTAGATCGTTGGCCAAGGCTGTGCCGGTACGGAATACTCGGGAGGGATCAGTGACTTTTCAGCATGATAATTGGCTCCACATAATATCTCCTTTCTTTCACATCATCAGTAGTAGGATTATTTCTTATTTGGAAGTGTGTGAGGATTGAGCCCTCAAGAAGGGGCCTTGCCGTGATATACATGTTCTGGGCTAAGGCCCCCAGCAAGCCTCGTGCCTGCCCTAAGTGAAGGCGGGCCAACAAATCAACAAGAACCCTCTGTGCAAACATTTCACGAAGTGGGGTCCATACAGTTGCAGGACGCCAGTTGGTTGGAGTGCACCGAGTATCGGAGCTCTGCAAATGCAGAAATCCCAGGGCCCCAGAGTTGGTTAGGCCCTGGGCACATAAACGTGAGGCCGACATTGCATACTGGAAATAGAGGCCGAAAATGCCAATGGGATACCGGTCCACTATCTGAATCTGGACGCAGGCCTGGATGAAAGAGGCACAACTGTACTGCGTGGGCCCCAACCCCATTGGGCCTGGGTGCAGGTACTGGGGCCCAGGCGCAGGCTCAAGGGAGGCCGCCCATACGCAACACTGGCATATAGGCAGAGAGGGCGAGTGGGCAGGGATCTTGGCCATTGCGGGCAATGCCGGCACGCTGCGCAAATGCGAGGTGCTGCGCTGTGCTGGGCTGCGCTGGGCTGACGTAGAAGCAGGCAAGCGCTAAGCGGTAGAGCGCTGCCTGTGCGCAGGGCACTGGCGGCCATAGCCGGGCTGCCTGAGGGCGCAGAGGAGGTGAAGGGCGAAGGTGGTTCTTCGGAGGTGAAGGGCGCTGTGTGGGATAACAAGGGAGAGTGAGGGAGAAGAGACGGACTTACCTGGTGGAGAGGAAGTTGGCATTGGTGTTGACATCATCACTCGCTGGTCGTCAAGTTGTCTGGTTGCTTTCATGCTGTAGTTGTAGTGATAGGCTGTAGAGTATGTAGCGCACCTGGCACCATTCAAGAGAGAGAGCTACATTGGGTTATGCTGTTGGTGTTGCCCGATTGGGCTTGGACATTGACTCACGATTCTTCTGTATCGTTCTCAAATGGATGGTTACTCGGTTCCATTGTACTATCTGCTCTTGCTTTGACTACTTGGACTTCAGTGTGATTTTGCAATCTGGATTTCTGTGCTTCGTCCACATTCATGTTCCTTGAAGTGAGAGAGCTGTGAGCCTGTGATAACACTGCTTGAAATTTTCCTGCAAGCGTGCAATGCTGTGGGCCCGTTTGGTTCTGGTGACAGTGGTGCAACTAATTGTCTATGTTTTCTGTAGTTGTTCTTCATTTGGTATTGCCTTATGCCCTCCATCTTTAAAGATTATAAAATATAATTTTGCAATTGTGCCGCTTTGCCAGCAGACTAGTGTGTGGGCGCTTGGCGCTTAACCACACATTGGCACACAAACGCGGGCCAGGCCAACCTTGCACCTTCTACTATATATTGCCTATCTATACCTTTTTTGTTTTATGGATGGTCTATGATGTGGATAGAATGAGAGAGAGAGAGAGAGTTTGGGGTTCTTTGAAAAACACACCAGATTGGCAACAGGGTACCGGGCTTTGATCCTTTCCCCATCGGGATCCTGGCAATCTGTTTCATTAGTACCCCCTGCACAAGGTAGCATGAGTTGCTGGATGACCAATCAGGAAGGAAATGAATTGAGGGAAGGTCCCTGATCTTGATGTTCTTTGTCCCCAAACTCCCCACGATTCCCCAGGACCCCAGGTACCTGTCGTTTTCCCAGTCGTTGCTTTTTTCGGCTCAATTTTCCGGCTGATCTGTGAAATCCCTTTTTCTAAGAAACGAGAGATCGGCCAATAGATTGCTTGCTTCATACTAAGTTCATAGGATTGTGATCGACACCTAAAAGGGATGTTTTCAAAAAAAAAAAAAAAAAAAAAAAAGGGTTCACTTTTTTTTGAGTCTGTTTCCAGCAAAAAAACACCAGTACTTGGCCCAGCTATCGATGCCGAGCCGGCCGACGCCCTGCGCGCCAAGTTTTCCCCGAGCCGCTGTGGCACTGTTTCGACTTCGTTTTGGCTGGCGCTTCCAGCCATTGAGGTCTGCTACCCTGAAGCCCGGAAGTTGCGGGCTGTTAACGACAACGGCCCACGGCCGATGTATGGGTCAAGAACTGGTGGTTTAAGTTTTTGGAGTCCGGTACACAGTTGATTTCTGCCAATCTCTGTGGTAAGTCATTGATACCTGTTAAATTGTACAAGAAAATCCTGAGTTAGCTGCCTTCACTAGGAAATTCATGCTGCACGAAAGAATCATTGACATCCTGACGGCTGGCTCGTCAAATGATCACACAATCGTTCTTGTTTCAAGATGTCTTTGTCCCCATGGCATGATGTGTGCATGGCCAATGTCGGACCTGTGTTCTTATACTCAAAATGTCAAAAGAAAGTCTCATTTCATCAAAGACCTTCAGTCATGTCCTTCTTAATCATGATGTCAATCAGCGCATTGAGAAACAGGATCACGATTTTGCTCATTCTTTCCCAAAAGATAGCTGGGCATCTCAGGAACCTTCTGCCTGGATTACAATCCAAGTGGAGCAAGCACGAACATACTCAGCTTCTTTGTTCAGCGAAGAGTCCCTGTACGATGTTGACAGAGATTCTCTCAACACGTTCTGGACTCAGTCAGAGACAAGAGTCATTATCACCCGGCGCCTTCAAGTCAGCTCATGCAATCGATATTCACCGGGGATCTTTTGCAACATGTCAGTGATGGCATCAGAAATTGGGCTCGTTCCATTTAGCTAGTGCAATACCTGTTGTACGAGACACCATAGTAACTTGGTTATGGGGAGGCTTCTCGGTGGATAACGCAACGGTTACCTTAGTGTGACCCGCTGACCTATAAACGCCGTAGGACGTGAAATGGTCGTTGCCCACGGAATGGACAACTGTTACAATTGAAACCGGATGCAAGGCCTGCCGCCTATGCTGTGATGCTCAGTAGACTCCTGCACCTTTAAAAGAGAGCTGGCAACCCTCTGAATTCGAACGGAAAGGTACAGCCTGAGGGAAGAAAGCCACAACGAACTATTGAACAAGTGTAAGCTTCGCTACCCGAACGGTAGGAGTACTGACCACACTTAGGGACTGATGGAGGAGAGGCCACTGGGCTGTCAATTTGAGGTTTGGCAATATACGGGAGATTCAACAGGATCAACACGTTGTTCAGGAGATCAGTGGATGATATCACATTTTGCCTAAACTTTGTTCAACTTGAATAGGGAGGCTGTTCTCTCCTTGGCTTCAGAAAAGCAGCAAGGTCTTTCAGAAACTTTTGGGACTTTTCAATCCAAAAATTCTAACAACTATTTTGTATTTCTACTATTTCACTCATTTGATGGGAACATAAAAGAAGAATGGGGTATATGGGCATTCCAAACCCTTTCTTGAATTCAATCAAAGAAAGTCCTAAGCTGAT